TGGCTACTGGCTACTGGCTACTGCTACTGCTACTGCTACTGCTACTGCTACTGCTACTGCTACTGCTACTGCTACTGCTACTGCTACTGCTACTGCTACTGCTACTGCTACTGCTGCTGCTGCTCCTGATTCTGGATATGAGTGCACGCATGTAGTCAAGTGTAGTCCTGGGCGTTCCAATTTGAGCCAGAACCCTCTACCCTAAAGCCTCTAGGGCACCCTCAAGCCCCTGTTTTCCACTCTTCGACAACCTGAGCTTTCTGAGGTCGAAACTCTGAAGCCCAATTGCTGAGATGCAACCTCCAAACGGTTTAGGGTTTAGGGACACGAATCCAAAGCCCAATGCCCTGCTCAGGGTAGGTGACCTGCAACCTTTCTGAGTTCATCTAATCCTGCTATGATGAAAGAAGGTCTACCATTTGGGGCTAGGCTACTCAGCCCCGAAGATTACCCTACTACCGAAATACTCTCACCCACAAACCCCAAAATCCTGACCCCTAAACCCTTACACCCTAATTCTTATGCCCTAAACAGCAGCTTGCCATACGAAATACAAATATGATTATCTCAGTACCTTAATCATGACCTAATGTCCTAAACTCCTAAACCCCATACACCCTCAACCCTAAACCCTCAACTGTGGAGTCTCGAGGCTTTCGGTTTTGTCGGGGCTTTTGCATTGGAGCCTGCGTCTTACGTTGAGGCTTTGGGTTGAAGGTTTTACCTGCGGATCCCAAAACCTGCTGTTTTCCGGGGGCTACATCTTATAATCAAGGAGCCATGCCCCTACTATTTCGTAAGTTTTGGGATACAGGTATACGGTATACCTTGTGGGACTTCATTTTAGGATTAATGGTGCCTCAGACCAAGAGCATATACCCCGATGCGAAACCAAACCTATAAAGCCTTCTTCAGCACTACAGTTTCCCAAAGGGTCCAAGTACTAATATGGTAGCTACTTTGCAGGTATTTATATACTATACTATAACTTGGACCCTCTGGGTTTAAGGATGTCTAAGGCACATATTCATGTTCTTTGATTAGGCAAGGGATACATCGGGCTCTTCGGTGTTCTCATGTCAATGACCCGGCAGGTGGCGAAGCAAGTGCTCCTGCCGGAAGTGCTGGCAGGCACTGACAGCCCTCTAGAGTTGTTGTGTAACTTTAAACACGAACCCGCGAAACCCAATGCAAAGTGCTATGAAACTAGAGGACTCCGAATTGGATGGCACCTGTCTTAACCACTCTTGTTGCCTTCCAACCAGAAAACGCTAGTGGCTGGATCATGGCTGAAACCCTGATAACCCAGACTTCTGAAACGCTGACAACCGCTCCTTCGCAGTAGCCTCGACAGGAGTTAGGGTGCTTGGAGAGTTTACTTAAAGCATCAAGGGACTGCGTAAGTAGCTGATAAGCAGGAAAATGATTAGGATAAGCCGGCTTAGGGTATGCATAAACTCTACTTATCACCCACTTCCCGCATCCTCAGTAGAGATGTTGAGGATTTGGGTTGCCGGGTTTGGTTGGGTTTAGCATGGCTTCACATGGTGTCTTGTCGGAGCGATTTAGGTGCTGGGGCCCGTAAACCCTAACCCCCTAAACCCTGAGCCATAAACCCCTAAATCCTAAGCCCTAAACCCCAAACCCCCTTGATCAGAGCGTAGGTTGAGGGCCCTGTGGCCCGAAAATCACGTCAACATGACGACCCGGTGGGGTTTAACGATTTGGGGTTTTCAGTGGTAGGGCTGCGGAAGGCCTAAGCCCTAAACCCTGAAACCTCGCCCTGACCCCGAATGTCCCCCGAAAGTTCGATTAGGATTCCTTATGGAAGCCTTATGGGAGTTTTCGAGGGGGTACCTTATTTTGGGGTCCTTATAATAAGGATCCTACTACTTGGGGTGCTAGATTAGGGTCCCATATTTTCGGAAACCCCCTTACATGAATCTTCATAGAACCCGACAAAATTACAGTAAGAGACTTTCCAGCCCCTTAGACCTTGCAGTAGAGGTTCTCCCTCGACAAGGCAGGGGACTCACAAAGTTCATCTCCTCAAGTCTGACACCACAAATGCGGGCAAGCCCCCTAAACCCAAAGCCCTAAACCCTAAAACCCTAAACCCCCAAAGCCCTAAGCCCTAAACCCTAAAACCATAAAACCCTAAACCCTAAACCCCCAAGTCCAAAACCTGCACCCCAAACCCAGAACCTGCGGGGCGCATGTCCTCCCTCAGAGCTCGGTGCCAGCCAGGGAGCCCTAGAGACGGGGTTTGGCAGGGTATAGGATTTTAGTCCGAAGGGTGCGATCGGATTTTACAAGGGCTTGACCAGGGTTTTAGTATTAGTATGTTTTAGTAGAACGCTAAACCCCATACCCCAGATCCGAAACCCCTCGCCCTCAACCCTAAACCCTAAATCCTCAACCCTAAACCCTAAATCCTAAACCCTAAACCGTAAACCCTAAATCCTCAACCCTAAACCCTAAACCCTAAACCCTACATCCTAAACCCCTCAAATCCCTAAACCGCTTCAATGGCGTGGAGAGCCAGCGTTGCCAGGCTCTGAGGCCCAGGAAGCAGATCACCAACATCTGGAGGAGATGGGGTTTAGGGTTTAGGGTTTAGGGTTTAGGGTTTAGGTTTAGGGTTTAGGGTTTAGAGTTATTCGGCAACTACAACAAGGGCTGTAACGCACAGTTAAAGGGTTCCTATAATGAAAGGGATCCTTTCAAGGGCGTCAGGGCTTCTTTAAAGGGGTTTAGGGTTTAGGGTTTAGGGTTTAGGGTCCTGTATTAATATCTGGGTCCTCTTAAACGGGACCAGCTGGCGGGCTCCCCAGGGTTCCCACGAGGTGTTCGAGGGTCTTGGAGTTTAGGGCTTTAGGGCGTTTAGGGCTTTAGGGTTTAGGGCTTAGGGCTTTGGGGGGTTAGGGCTTTACGGAGGTTAGTGTGGCTGTAGCTTCGCGTTGAGGGTTTAGGGCAGTCAGTGTTGATTTGGGCGTAGGGCTCAGGGCCACGGGACTGCGAGAGGGCTGTAGGGTCTTTGAATAGATAGGGGTTTAGGGTTGAGGGTTTAGGGTTTAGGGTAGGAGTTTGGGCCGTTTAGGTTTCAGGGAGTTGGGGGAGGTTGCTGCTCCCAGACCCAACAGCGCCTTTTAACCTTCCTTGGCCCAAAGGACATACCTAAAGGTCCCAAGGCCCCATAATTGGCTTAAGCATAGTATGTCGGGGAGTTAATGTGTATACATACATATATATATATATATATATGTATATGCACATATATATATA